TAGGTTCATTGTCATACGGTCTCGACAAGCAGCAACGTACAGTAGTCTTCCAGCCGAAAATAATTACTTTTGATTCGGGTCAGTAATTATAATAGATAACAAGTGAAAGTTTGCCGCGGTATTCCCATGCTATGCATACGAAGTATTGTGCATTATATCAACATATACTCGAGAATAGTTATCCAGCTAAACATGTATGTCAAAATTATGACATCTTCTGGTTTATCAAATTATCACATCTTCGGATTTTGTGCAAGGACAGCTTCGGGTTGCGTTTCGCTTTGGCCGATGCTTGAAATTTTCCGGAAGAACACTTATTTACCGGAAGTTGTCGTTCAGTACTTCCTATAGGAGTATGAACAAATGAAATCATGGGTACAATGTAAAGTATTAACCAGTACTACAATTCAGTTGTTCATACCTCGAGAAAGCCCCAATTAGGCAATTTTCTAACTATGTCTAACTTATATTTACAGTACAGTATAACAAGTCGAAATACGCGTTGACATACAACTCACAAGTGTCTAAAGTGACATTATAAACATGACAGTATTTGACACTTTCTCCATGTACGAACAACCGAAAGTAGATCATGCTCAGCTAAAACTGCAGGCATGAATTTCGGCAGCTCGTACATCAAGAAAGCAACCAACTTATAGTCTTAATAAAAGAGAAAATATGCAAACAAACAAACAAACACTAAATGTTCTTAACAGAGAATACACTGTCACTGATACTTATTGGACTATATACTTATATTAAACAATTAATTACTAATGATATTTTTAGATGTCTTAATAGAGCCTTATGCTGGTAAGTTTAGTTGAACTCACGAGTTTCTGACTAAAGTAACTGTTGCAATATGTGTTGAATGACGGCTGCGATGTTTAAGAAACAGAAAACAAACGAATCTTCTCATTTCATGGGAACGACCTGAGACTGCAATCACGGCTTCAATTTTTGAATTGCAGAATAATTAGATGCACTATCTAGTGTATATAAGATATCTATGGTTTGAAGGCTGACACCTGAAATCGGGATAAACAATCGGCCAGTTTGTCATGAATACCAGGGATATGTTTAGTTTTAAACAGGATATTGTTTTGTAAGGAAATTAACACCATCCTGCGAACAAAACACATTAATGACTTATCCCGACAGGACTTTTTGTTAATGACATGAACATGAAATCTCTGGTAACCCCAAGGTTACATTTTAACTGCAACGAATTTGTTTGGGATGGAAATTTAGATGAATTAAAGGAATTTGTTCAGGATGACCTTCATCTATTATAGGTCCTATTCTCTGGAACGATATCGTTCAGTTCCATTGCCCGGGTTCGGGCACTACTCTGGAACAAGATAAATAATCAGGATAAATCATACAAAGTCCAAATCCGCTTGTTTGCACTTCCCAAAACCTGCAGTTTTCGAGTATTTCTTCTTCGAAAATTCAATAAATCAACATCTTTCGTAATCGATTGCCGCCATTTTTGTTCAGGATACTTGGTGTAATAAACATTATAAATGGCGATTTTCGCGGACTCACACTCGTTCTTAATAGCTTACATGAAGTTTCCAGCTTGCCATTTGTAAACATGGCGTCTTCTGACTCATGTTTAACTTATTTTGATGGGAAAAAAGGCCCACTTACAAGTTTTAGAGCGGTTTCGTATAAAAAATTTTAAGATTGTCGTAGAATTTGGCTAACGCTAGACGGCGAAGAATGCAATGTTGCTCAAAGAAGTTTGCGATTTGTTAGCGACAGCATTAGGCCGTATTCTGTGGCACGATATCTTTCAGTTCCGTTGCCCGGGTTCGGGCACTACTTTGAAACAAGATAAATAATTAGGATAAATTATACGAACTTCAAATCCGCTTGTTTGCACTTCCTAAAACTTGCAGTGTTCGAGTATTTCTTCTTCGAAAATTGAAGAAATCGACATCTTTCGTAATCGATCGTCGCCATTTTTGTTCGGGATACTTGGTGTAATAAACACTCTAACTGCCGATTTTCGCGGGCTCATGCTCATTCCTACATGAAGTTTCCAGCTTAGCATTTGTAAACATGGCGTCTTCTGATTCATGTTTAATTCATTTTGATGGGAAAAAAGGCCCACTTACAAGTTTTAGTGTGGTTTCGTATCAAAAATTTTTAGATTGTCGTAGAATTTGGCTAACGCTAGACGGGGAAGAACGCAATGTTGCTCGAAGAAGTTTGCGGTTTGTTAGCGACAGCATGGAAGTAGCACGGTCGAAAATATCGATGCAAATTTCTCTTATCATCGAAGTTGTTACTCGGCATTCACAAATAGCAGTAAGATCAACCGAGCTCAAGAGCGTTGTCAGAATATGGGCAAAAAGTTGTACCTTCATCCTCTGGTCTCGATATTTTTTATGAAGAAACGGAATCAGATGAATTCGAGTGCGGGCCTGTGCGCCAGCTAAATCATGGAATGACCATTTGTTGCCATGCGTTTAGCGTTTGTATAAGTTGCTAATCAGAAAAGTCATATTTCACTGACTGAAGCGGTAAGCTTATTGATTTATTTTTTTTTACAATTATTGTTATTTTTCTAATAATAATAATGGATGACTCTTCGATTTCGAAGATGTCCTTTTTCGTCGGAGATTGGGTCACCGTCTATGAACTCTCCCATGGACTACCAAACCCGCTCGGCTCGCACAGGGCCGTTGACACACATCACACGTGATTCCTGTTGCATCAGCTTGATCTGGCCATTTACGCCGGAGTCGGGCTTGTCGTATTCTCTCTGTCCGGCCTGCTTCACGATTAAATGATTGAACACCAGTATGGATTGCAGTTCGCCATGAAGCCCTATCTTCTGCTCGTGTTTGCCAAGATTGCAGCGGAATATTGCACGATTTTAGCGCATCTTTCAGGCTATCCTTATACCTTTTTCGCGGTCTTCACACCATTCGGTTTCCTTGTTGTAACTCCCCGTACAACAATATTTTAGGTAATCGTTCATCATCCATTCTCACGATGTGACCAGCCCACTGAAGCTGCCTTTTTTTCAGAATGCTTTCAATGCTACAACATTTTTCCCGCTCTAGCACTTCGCTGTGTGGCGTCTTTTCTTCCCATTTTACACGCATAATGCTACGGAGGGATCGTTGCTGGAAAGCTTCTAGTTTTTTTATGTGCCTGGCATACAGGGTCCATGTTTCCCCGCCGTACAGGAGCGTTGATATAACAACTACTTTGAACAGAGCTATTTTTGTTTCTAGTTTGATATCATGACTATTCCATAGACGATCTTTGAGTCTTCCAAAAGAGGAGCTGGCTTTTGCTGTCCTTCTTTCGATTTCATGGTCTAATTGCGCATCATCGGATATTGTGCTACCAAGATACCGGAATGTTTTAGTTGTTTTCAGTTTTTGACCGTTCACAATGATTAATGGTTTATCTAGAAGCACTCCTGGTTGTAGTTGGTATAATACTTCGGTTTTTTTTATGCTGATTGTCAAGTCAAAGCGCCTAGACGCATTTGAGAAACTGTCCATCAACGATTGTAAATCTTCTACAGAATGAGCGAATATGCCGCAGTCATCTGCAAATAATAATTCCCTTACAAGTTGTTCTCTTATCTTTGTTTTGGCGCGCAGACGTTGTAAGTTGAACAATCCACCATTTGTTCTGAAATTCACGCGAATACCTTTGTCATTACCATCTAAGCAGTCTTTCAGCATAGCCCCGAAGAACAAGATAATAGGATCGGCGCTACAACGCAACCTTGTTTTACGCCATTATTTATGGGGAAACTGACGGAGAACTGACCTTTGGAACAGACCCTCGCTTGCATCCCTTCGTGAAGTTGTTTAAGGACATTTACAAACTTTGTGGGGCAACCCAATTTTATTAGGATCTTCCACAACGCTTCCCGTGATACCGTATCGCAGGCTTTAGTCAGGTGGATGAACACCGGATATAAAGGCATGTTCTGTTCGATGCTTTTTTCTTGCAATTGCCTTACTGCAAAAATCATGTCCGCTGTTCCTCTGTTGCTGCGGAAACCACATTGGGATTCGGAAACATTTTCATCCAGGATGTTTTCAACTAAACGCATCTGTAAAATCTTTGCCAGGATTTTGGAGCAGTGTGACAATAGCGCAATTCTCCGGTAGTTACCACAATCTGACTTGCTCCCTTTTTTCTTGTATAGCGTGACAATTATGGCATCTTTGAGCTCCTGTGGGATGTCTTCATCTCTCCAGATATAACCGAATAAGGAGAAGAGATGGCAGATAATTGCCTCTCCACCATGTTTGTATATTTCGGCGGTATCCCGTCTTCTCCTGTTGCCTTTCCACTTTGAAGTAGTTTTATTGCTTTACGAATTTCTGCTTTTGTTGGTCTATCAGCCAGGTGTTCCTGTACCGGCTGCTGTTTGATGTTATCGATACTATTTTGTTGTACAGTCGAGGCACGATTAAGAAGTTCATTCAAGTGTTCGACCCAGCGATTAAGGTTCTCATTTCGATCAGATACTATTTTCGTGCCATCGGCTGAAAGCAAAGGTGATGTACCGCGGGTTGACGGTCCGTACACTCCCTTTACAGCATCGTAAAACTTTTTTGCATGATGTTTTATAACAAACGTACTTGCAGGGAGGTGAGTCCGGGATTGGACGCACCGAGGGTGGCTGGAAGTTTCCCGAACTTACCGAGCGAAATCCCATACACCGAGGCTGACCGAGCCATACACACATTTGTAGCTCTTCGCGAATCGCGATATATTCGTCGATGTTTTGTGAACATTTTCCCGGCCAAAAAAATCACTGGGCAAGAAAATACTTCTTTATCTACGTCTACATTACCTTTACTGCATTTTTTCTTTGGTTTTTCTTCAGTCTCGGTATGTTAGTCACCGAAAAAAGTTCTTTAATTTAAAGTTTAGGTTTATCGGCTAAATCATGTCCGCCATATTTGTTATTGTTATTGCAACGTAAGCAGTTTAGCGGGTGAGTTCGGGCGAAAAGCAGGTGAGTTCGGCAAAAAGCAGGTGAGCTCGACGACAAGCTCACCTGCTCTAAACCAATCAGAAAGCCGCTTTTAAGACAGGTATGGGATAAGTCAGCGAATTCCTGAATTTCACGAGCTTTTTTGACCAGCCAATCATTTTTTAGACGTCGAATTTCGCATTGCAAGCGGTGTTGACACTCTTTCAGTCGGGAACTTGTACTGCGAGTATCTCTGGTGACAAGGACCTGATGGGCAGCATTTTTTGCATCTATGAGTGGTGTTATTGACCCGATGTTTTCTTCGAACCAGTCAGGGTGTTTCTCGCTTTTCGTACCGAGTGTTTCTTTCGACACTCTGAGTTTTTGATTTTTCAGTTCCTTCCATTTATCGTGAACGGAGTCACTTGGACGGTCAGCTAGTTGGTTGAGGGCAGTTTCCATCTTGACAGAAAAGTCGTTTTTGATCTCATTGCTTTTTAGTCTGTCCACATTCAGCTTTCTGACGCCTTTGAATGCAACTTTTCGCCTGTGCGGTTGTATTATCATTTTTAGTTTCATTCTGACCATTCTGTGGTCGGTTTGGCATTCAGCACCACACATTGCTTGTGTTAGACAAACATCTTTTAGGTCCCTTTGTCTTACTATTGCATTATCATTCAGATGCCAGTGTTTAGATTTTCCACTGGTAGCTGAAACATCGTGTTTGTGATTACGAGTTCATGCTACTTACACTTTGATAATAATAGTAAACCATTTGAGTTGCAATTTCCGACCCCATATTTACCAATTGTGCGCGACCAAGATGTACTGTTTGTACCAACACGGGCATTGAAATCACCCAACAAAATCAGCTTATCTCCTTTGGCGTTTTGCGCAGGATATTATCAAGGTCTGCATAGAAGTTTTCCTTTACATCTTCTTCGTTTGTCATTACATCTTCTTCATTTTCAAACGCAGCCACATGAGACGTTCGTTTACTGCGGTTGGCAGGATTTCCAATTTTTTAACAATAGAGGTTTTTATAGCGAATCCGACGCCATACAGACGCTTTTCGCTTTCCGGTAAGCCGCTCCATAAGTAGGTATATCCTGATGTTGGTTCAGTAAGTTGTCCGGTACCAGCGAATCTAGTTTCACTCAATGCGGCTATATCAATGTTATATCTTTCCAATTCTAGTCCAATAATAGCTGTCCTCCGCTCTGTTGTTCTTTCGCTCTGCAAAGTCCTCACATTCCATACTGCAATTTTTAATTGTTTTTTCTTTGTGTTTCGACCGCAAAGTGGGATAACTCGTCAGCTGCGGTTTGCTAACCGAGTTGGTGGAGTGAACGTTTTTTGGGATCACCTTTTCTAGTCCCTTCTCCGGATTGGGGGGAGCAGTGTCCTCCCTAAATAGGGCTGCTTGGTCGTCTGGGGTGCTGTCGAAGAACCATATCACTCCTTGGTAGGCAGAGCGATCAAAATCCCAGACCGCCAATGTGCAGGTTTGTGATTACGACTCGGGCAATATCCTTTGCTTGTCACTTCACCACGCCCCCGTCGCCGTTGGGCTTGTTTCCGTCCGTCCATCCAATGTCCAGTCCGTTGCAATCAACCGTTCCGTTTTTATATTTGTTTTAATATTTGTTTTAATATTTGTTTTATAATTATATATTGATTGCATTGCCTTTAGCCGCTCCCGTTATAACGGTTGTGTGATTTATATGCATGGGTTTTTTATTGTTTAGAAGTCGAAAAAGGGAAAGCTGGACAAAATGGTATCTGTGAAAAAAGTAGATGGTGGTAAACTGAAAGAAGCTGCAACAAAGAAAGTTGATGAAAGTATTTTGATTCAAATTGGCATTGAAAGCATCCACGTACAGTATACAAGTGCAAGACTGAAAGAAATGTATAAGAGAATTAATAAAGTTGGCCTAATATTGAGAAACAACTTGCAAAGACTGTTGCAAAACATTGTACATCTGCTTGGTACAAGAACTGCCCACCACATACATCAAATATTACTGGTGAAACCATTAGTATCACCTCTCTTGTTTAATTTAATGGCATGGATACTTGGGTTTTCAGATGACCCAGAAGATGCTGACTACATTGAATTAGATGACCGAACTACATCAAAGATTTTTCTCTGTGTCAAAATTTGGTCTATATTTCTAATAGGGGGAAAGTACAGACACCCAAGTCCTAGCACTAGCAATGACCGTTTGGCAGATGTTTGGTTGTTCTGGCCTGATATTTAAGATTTTGAGTGGTTTTGGACATTGTCTCTCACTACCTTTGGCAATGGCATATGATTCAGCTGTTGCACAGGCAACTATCAACGCATCAACATTATTCCAGTAATATCTGATGCATGTGGTAGCCAGTTCTTGTACCAAGCTGATGTATAATTACGCAAGTTGTTTCTCAATGTTAGGCCAACTGTATATATTTCTTTCAATGTTGCACTTGTGTATGTCGATGTTTTCGTTACAATGTCAACATCAGAATCAGACTCTTGTGTGAACTCTGAGATGTTTCTATGTCATCATCCATAAAACTTTTTCTTGACTGAGGCACTCTGCATTGATTGATTGATTGATTGATTGATTGATTGATTGATTAAACAATATCACTCTATCACAATATCATTCATTACTTTGGTCTATGGAAAACAACTTTTCATAACATTGTTTATGGTATAATTCCACTTTCAATGCTAGGTCCTTATCAGCAATTTGAATCAAAATACTTTCATCAGCTTTCTTTGTTGCAGCTTCTTTCAGTTTACCACCTACTGTTTCCTGTTACAAATTGTTAACAGCTTGTTTCAAACTTGTTACAACAAACTGGGAACAAACAGTGTGAAGACAACTTGTTGACAGCTTGTGAACATACATATAACAACTTGTTTTGCAGACTTGTTACAAGTTGTTCCAACAGCAATTCAACAATTTGTCAACAAGTTGTGAGTGACAAGCTTGTAGCAACTTGATAAAATAACAGAATTTTTACAACTTGTTGGCAAGCTTGCTACATGTCTGCTGCGAACACATCTTGTTGACAAGTTGTGTGATTTTTACGTGTGTAGATCTCAGCATTTTCTTTACAGGTGGAGTTTCATCTGATTCCGTTTCTTCATCAATAATATCGAGACCAGAGGATGAAGGTACAACTTCTTTGTCCATATTTTGACAACGCTCTTGAGCTCGGTTGATCAAACTGCTATTTGTGAACGCCGAGTAACAACCTCGATGATAAGAGAAATTTGCATCGGCATTTTCGACCGTGCTACTTCAATAGTTCCATACTGTCGCTAACAAACCGCAAACTTCTTTGAGCAACATTGCGTTCTTCCCCGTCTAGCGTTAGCCAAATTCTACGACAATCTAAAAATTTTTGATACGAAACCACACTAAAACTTGTAAGTGGGCCTTTTTTCCCATCAAAATGAATTAAACATGAATCAGAAGACTGTTTACAAATGCTAAGCTGGAAACTTCATGTAGGAATGAGCATGAGCCCGCGAAAATCGGCATTTAGAGTGTTTATTACACCAAGTGTCCCGAACAAAAATGGCGCCGATCGATTGCGAAAGATGTCGATTTCTTCAATTTTCGAAGAAGAAATACTCGAAAACTGCAGGTTTTGGGAAGTGCAAACAAGCGGATTTGGACTTTGTATAATTTATCCTAATTATTTATCTTGTTTCAAAGTAGTGCCCGAACCCGGGCAACGGAATTCGTTTTCTAAGCGAGTTTTCGTGCCACAGAATACGGCCTATTAAACGGGAAATGGTCGTCACCTGGCGGCGAAGAGAAATTGTTCACAAATCCTACCTTCGCGTTCAAATGGTATGGTACTACCAAGAAGAAAATTGTCATTGTAACTGACAACGAAGAGTTGCATCTAGCCGAAATGCTTAGGAAACATGCTGACGAGTATAGCGGCGAGGATAACGAACATTTTGCGGTAGAATTTGAGAATGCGAACGACGAGTCTGTAAATCAATCCGACAAGTCATCGAATTGCAATAATTGTCAAAAACATAGAGAAGTATTGGATGAAATAAAACTTAAGCTAGATTAATTGTTGTTGCTTTATAGCGTAGTCGGAACTAAGCAAAGCGAATTCGCAATTGAGAGAAATAAATACCAATTAATCGAAGGCCAAGATGGCATAATCCACATGCTTATTATCAAAAACAGGAAATTGGAGAGTGAACTTGATAATATGAAAGTGACCCTAGAGCAGGTGAAGCTTGACAATGAAGTAATTCAAAAGACATTTGATATGAAACAGAATGTCTGGATAAAAGCGAAATCTTCAAACCATTGTAACCAAGTGCCAGTTGCTGACTCTCCACAACTGGGGCTCTCCACCTTTAATCATATTGATGCATTGACTGTTGAAGATGACGACATACCAGTCAATACTTCGGACAGTGGCTCAGATAGTGGCTTTCAAGGGCAGATTAAAGATTACCGTAATTCACAGTCATCTAAATTTGTCAAAAAATTGCGTAAAACAGATCAAAATATGTCAAGTGTTGATAGCCATAGTGAATGTCCCCCAAATAATCCGTCACCATCTGAACAGAAAAAAGTACGCATCATTGGTGACTCCATGGACATGAATATTGTCAATTTAAAAATATCCAGAGCGGCCAAAACTAAATCGACTCAGTGTCACTCTTATAGTGGAGCAAGAATACAATATCTTGAAGAAAAGATCAAGGAACATTGGTCAGATGATAGTCAGAATTATGAAACAGTAATTATCCATGCAGGAACCAATAACCTGGTCAACTAAAGTCCACGTCAAATTGCTCAACGTATGGAAAGTCTCATAAAAGTGGCAAAAATCCATTCAAGTGATGTTGCGGTGTCAAGTGTGGTAAAGAGATTTGATGGTAAATTATCCAACAAAAAAATTGAGGAAGCAAATAACGTATTACTCATCTTGTGCAAGCGGTACGAAGTAGCATTTTTAGATAACAGCGAGATAGATCAATCCCACCTCAATAGATCCAACCTCCATTTGAACAGAAATGGAGACAAGTTGTTGGGCAAGAAATTTTGCTCTTACCTAAAGTAAGTTAAAATTAGCCGCAATGCTGTTCATAATCAGAAGCTGCATGGCAAAAATAAGCCTTTTTTCGGCTTGCACTGGGCCATCGAATGAAGGAATGGTCAGATGACCTGAAGCTAGTAACCAACATAATGAAGAAATAAATGTTAATGATAATTGCTATTTAACCCAAAACAGGAGCAGCAAATGTTTCAATGAGATTAACTCCATTCCTAATGAAAGAGGCTTTAAAATAGCCTTTTTAAATGGTGTTAGCTTGCCGAAACGATATGATGAAATGAGCTTTTCATTGTCAAACAAATTAATTGATTTAATCGCATTTAATGAATCAAGGCTTGATTCATCAATTTCAGATAATCAAATGTATATTGATGGTTATGACATTATCCGAAAAGATAGATCAAGAAGTGGAGGTGGTGTTTGCATGTATTTGCGTAGATCCATTAATTATCGGATTAGACATGATCTGGTGCCTAAAAATCTTGAAGCTGTTTGTATTGAAATCATTAAGTCTCAAAGTCAGCCGTTCGTCGTAGTAACAGCTTATAGACCTCCAAATCCGTCATTCGAACTTTTTATTGATTTAGAAAGTCTCATTAAAAAAATAGATGATGAAAACAAAGAAATTCACATTCTTGGTGATTTAAACTGTGATTTACTTAAGACAAATCCAGACCAAATAACTAAAAAACACAAATCCATATATGAACTTTATCAATTGTCACAAATGATTGATGAAGCTACGCGCATTACATCATCAACGTTCACCCTTATTGATCATTTTATTACAAATAGACCAGAGAAAATTTCTGACCCTGGGGTAATACATACTGAAATTAGTGATCATAGCATGATTTCCGCAATAAGAAAAATAAATTTTTCAGTAAAACGTCATGTAAATATTGTTGAAATTAGAAACATGAAGAAATTCAATGATCTAAAATTTCTTAAGGATTTGTAAAATCAACCCTGGGATCATATTTATTATTTTCTAGATAATCCAAATACTATGTGGAAGATGTGGAAAAAAGTCTTTTAGAGGTCCTGGATAAGTATGCACCACTTCAAAACAAAAAGATAAAATCAAAAAGTGTTCCTTGGTTTACAAGCAATATTAAAATGCTCATAACCGAACGAGATAAATTGAAAAGGAAAGCATTTATTACTAAACAAGAATCTGATTGGCTCATTTATAAAAAAGCCAGAAATCAAACAAATACCAAATTAAGGAAAGCAAAAACAGACTATTATTCTAAAAAGATTGCTAACCAAAAATGCAATCCAAAGCAGGCTTGGAAAACTATTCATAGTTTGATCGGAAAGGGTAAGAAACCCACAATTATAAATGAACTAATTATTAATGAATCTAAATTAACAAATCCTACAGAGATTGCAGAAGGGTTAAATGAATTCTTTGCAAATGTTGGACCAAACTTTGCAAACAAGTTGGATGAATCTAGCTGTGACTTTCAAAATTATTCCAAAAGTTCTGAATCCGAGTTCACTGCATTTACACCAATTGCGGTAAACAAAATTTTTGATATTTTAAGAGGCCTGTCTTGTAACAAAGCATGTGGTGTTGACAAAATTTCCAGTAAAATTCTTAAATTAGCATCACCAGTTATTTCTGCTACACTTACATATATTTTTAATCAAAGTATTACTCTTTGCAGCTTTCCAGATGAATGGAAAGTATCTAGTGTTTTACCTCTTTATAAAAGTGGTCATCGTAATATTCCAGGTAATTACAGGCCAATATCGATACTACCAGTCATAAGCAAAATCATGGAAAGATTGCTGTATGAGCAGCTGTATGATTATTTAACTAAAAACGAAATTCTCTCTGATAACCAATTTGGCTTTCGAAAGTTTCACTCTACCGCTACGTCCCTTTTAGATTCAACAAATAGTTGGTACGTTAACATGGATCGAAAAATGTTTAAGTAGATCACGAAATTCTACTTGAGAAAATGCAAATTTACGGTATTAATTAAGGATAAGGCACTTTTGATGTTGAGATAATATATTATTGATCGCACCCAAAAATGCCAAGTAAATGGTGTTGTCTCGTCTGAACACAAAGTTAAATGTGGTGTCCCTCAAGACTCCATTTTAGATCCTTTATTCTTCCTAATATACATAAATTATTTATCTGAATGCCTGAATAGGACAAAGCCAAGACTTTTTGCAGATGACACGAACCTCGCTGCTTCTGGTGGTACAATTAATGATGTTGAAAATGCAGTGAACTCTGATTTGGAAAACCTCAGAATGTGGTTAAACGCGAACAAACTGAGCCTAAACATTGCCAAAACTGAATTTATGCTCATTGGGTCAAGACCTCTGGTGCATGCATACTGTATCAGATTTAAATTTAAAAATAATGATTGAAAACAGACCAATTAAACAAGTGAAGGAATGCAAGACATTAGGAGTAATGGTTGATCAGCATCTCTCTTGGAAAAGTAATACTGAGAGTATCTGTCAGAAAATCACATCAGCCATTTCTGTTATTAGAAAACTAAAAGAATTTGTACGTTGACCTTGATACACTTGTTTCTATATTTAATGCAATTGTACAACCATACTTTACTTATTGTTGTGAAGTGTGGGACATTTTTGGTGAAACTCAATCACAACGACTACAAAAGCTTCAAAATAGATGCGCTAGAATTATTATGGACATGGGTAACGAAGTTAATGCCCAAATCGCAATAAATTCGTTAGGATGGGAGACACTAAAAGTACAAAGAACTAAAGCTAAGGCAAAATTAATGTTCAAAATTTTGAATATGTCTGGGCCTAAAAGCCTAACAGACCTTTTTACCTACAAGAATGAGAATACACATTACTGTCTCCGTGACAATGAAACGACATTCGTTTTGCCACAGCCCCGCACAAATAGCATGAAAAAGAGTTTTATGTTTAATGGGGCAAAAATATGGAACTCAGTGCCTAAAGAAATCAGAGGAATTAGGTCCCAGTCTCCATTTGAAAGAAAAATTGCTGCTCATGCATGTTACTAAATAATATATTTATACATACATATATAAATCCTTTATTGTAAATAGTTACCCACATGTTTTGTTAGTTGTCTATATTGTCAATTTTGTCAATTGGAAAAGTTAGATTATTTCTATTTTCTTTTATTTGATTCCATAAGGGTCATAACAACACTTATATATAATAACTTTTGAACACACGCCCTTCGTGGAAATCAATATTTTTAATTGACGTAGTAGCGTGTCAAAATAAAATCTATCTATCTATCCATTTATGTCTTTGCCTTCCTGCTTTTCACGAGGTATTGCGTTTAACGAGCTCAGTTTACTGGCAAAACAAAAACCCGACTTGGGATAATTTGGCTGTGAAATTGATTCACAGCCGCTTTATTTAAAATCTCGTCATTTAATTAGAAATATCATAAAATCATTAAAATTGATAATTTCAGTTAATAACTTGAGTCTGTTAATGTTCATGGCCAGTAAAGGTGGCAGGACTACACGCCAAAGACTACGCCATTGAAGTCAGTCGAACGTAAATCGCGGAATCTCCCCACCCGAGGAAAACGCAACACCACTAGCAAAGAGCATTTAATTATTATAATGTTTTATAGCGAGCCAAAATACACCGCAGTAACCCCTGTTAACTGTAGTGTAGGCCGATCGAAAGCAGTCGCCTCTGCGAAACCATTATGAGTAATAGCAGAATGTTGTAAATAGAGCCCTTCAATACTAAACATCTAACAGTCGCTCCTGCTGACTGTTGTTAACACAACCACTAAACATTTAACAGTCGCCCCTGCTAACTGTTGTTCACACACAGAAAGGAATAAAATAGTCAGAAATAACAGTTTAATTTAAGTGAATAATTACTAATGAACATTAATATATCTGGTGATCAAGAAGAGATGTCCGCCCCTGCTAGACAGGCCCTCTGGACCACCAAATATACTATGCAACGGACCAAGCGACAACACCCCGCGACATTGTCGCCCGGTTTGGAAGGATTGTGTTACTCAGATAATGAAGCAGTCGTTGAAAGAGATGAAACTCGAATATACTTTTGAAATGCATTCGTTTTCCACCGACCTAGAAGACGAATCTGTGCATCGGACAAACCATTCTCAGCAGCGAAAGATGCTGCACCGATTCGAAACGAATGTGATTTGTAATGCGACGGACTTGGGTCACAGTATTTGAGGCAAGCAACAAGGTTAGCGGTAAAAACTTTTCTCGGCACCGCGACGCCCTCCACTGTCATAAATACTGGACCCGGACTACAGCCACGATGATTTAAATATGTTGATAATAATTGTACAGGGCAAGCGCTTGTTTGCCGGTTGATGAACATATTAAATGGTCGCTGATTGTAGTTATGCTTGTAATCAGCAAATATTAATTTGTAACCAATCACTTCACCATCTCTTGAGAGTTTGGTGAGCTGGTTTACCTGTATAGGGCAATTGCCCGGCTGTGATGTTGCGGTGATCTCACCCACGCGCAAAAATGCGAAGAATGCTAGAGCACACATCGCACGAAATTGGCACTGGTCGTAGTACGTAGCGACACAGTGTGGCACAGCCATTACTAATCGATTTAAAATCGTTAGCGTAATAGGCAACCTAGCGTCCAAACGAAAAGCTGTTTGCCATAGCCTTTCAACATTTGCACAATGTAAAATATTTTAGTGGGATTCATCAATCCCATTAATTTGTGGGAATAGCCGAGAGCCGAGACGTAGGTGTTGACAGTAGAGGGGGCGTAGCGCCGGTCAAACATGTAGGCGATAAAAAGTGCTAATGTAGGAGGCGAAATTGGTAATTTATATGAAAATGTTTGAAACATGTGAGAATGAAATTGGTCAAAAAGTTTCCAAGCGCGTCGGTAAGTCGGAATTGAGGATGGCTGGAGGCTCGATTGTGTGAAGTGGGAAACGATATTTCCCAATTCGCTGCCAACAGATGCCGCGGAATGTCCTTTACACAGGAATTCATCGAGGCTGGTCCTTCGCGTTTGAAGGTTTGAACCTGAAATCGAGACAAAAGATCAGCCAGGCGATTGTACGTCCCAGGAATGTGTTTGGCTTTAAATATTGTGGTTTAAACAAACAAGAACAAGCTTGCGAACAAAAAACATCAATGCCTTGTCCTTGCATGATTGCTTATTAATGACATGAACGAGTGCTTCATTATCAGTAAAAAATAAAATGCTATGATTCGCCATCTTATGACCCCATAAATACAGACTCAGTACAATGGGGTAGAATTCCAAAATGGCAATGTTACGGTGGCGCCAGTGATCGGGCCAGAAAATAAAATCTATCTATCTATCCATTTAAATACGAATAATTTCCTACCCTTTTTTTAGTCCTTCAACATTACGACGGTCATACCTTCGCCTGTAGTTTGGGTTTTCGGCCTTCGATTTGTTTTTGTACCGTTTCCTCGAAGGTACCTATTAAATTACGAAACACGCATATTGTTATTAAGAATTTATATATAAATAAGGCTTGAAGTGATAGTTTGCATATTACCTCGTCCATTTCCTCAGTAGTAGGTCATAATAGTTTGCATATGCATATCAGGCTCCTCAAAGTATGACGAGGCAGTCAGCTCCAGGTTCGCAAACCTGGAGCTGGCTCCAGGTTCGATTTCAACCTGGAGCTGGAACGACTAGTTTATTCATTCATTCATTCATTCATTTATTATTCAATAAAATATTATGGCGCTAAAAGGCGAATTGCGATATTCTTACAATATAGTAAATGAGAACTACAATAGATTATAGGACAGCACATTACGTATAATATATTATAGTATTGAATTGTATCTAAAATGTTATATACTATGTTCCAAGAATATACGACGTTAATAACTGTTAGTTAATAAAATTATTAAAACACATGCTAGGAATAAAACTCTGTTTGAATCGTTCAGTTCTACATCTTGGTACAGTAAGAGTTTTATTATTACGAAGTTCATAATTATGAACATCTTCTCTTGTCTCTGGGACTAGTTGATTCAGCCGTGATGTAGGCTGGCATATCGTTACAGGGACGTGGCAAGAGGGGCATTGGGAGCCGCGGCAAATAATCTTTGGAAATATTTATTTGCTAATATATATTTACTTCAAAATTAGTTAATGTAAAATTAATTCTAGATCTACTCAGTCTTTCAAGTATGCTTGTTGATTACGTACCTAGTCTCAAACAAAACAAGCCAATTACAGTACGCGAGCAATTCTTGGAAAGTTGGTTACAAAACCATTATGCCGCTACGACAGATTAACTGGACCAACTGGAAACTTGAATGCGCATCTTAACCCAGAGTATCACAAAGGTGCTGCAGTTCGATGCCGTAAATTTGTAAGAAACTTCGAAAAGGATATTGATCACATTCACAATTTAATCAATTTTCAACACAGAATTAAAGACTTGTGAAGAAAATCGTAATCGTCTTAAACCGATTGTCGAAACAGTTATTTTCTGTAGTCAGAATAACGTTGCTCTTCGAGGTAATGATGACAGTGGTGAACTTGATTTAACAAAGCCAAAAGCCGGCGAATGAAATTTTAGGCGTCTCCTCAGGTTTCGTGCCATTCAAAATGGTGATACTAATTTAGAAGAGCATGTTAATCATCCCCGCGTAACGGATGCTACACGTCTGGTAACATTCAAAATCAAGTACTTGAATGCGTTGGAGCAGAGTTAAGGCAAACATTCAAACAGCTCTCTCTTTGCTTGTGCTATTACGGTTGCAATAAGAAGACAATTTGCGAACACATTGTTTGCTTCCTGGATGTTTTGGACAAAGAATATGGTTCGAATCCCGGCAATTACGGCGATGTTGTTGTAAACCAAGACAATGGATAATTTTCTGCAGAGATGCGAAGAAAATTAAAATGTGTTTGAGATTGAAGAGCCAAAACTTACTGGAAAGGTCATTGGGAAAGCAATTGTGAAAGAAATTGAAAAATGTGGTTTATCACCCAGCGCATCTGTTGCACAAAGCTGTGATGGCGCAAGTGTCATGAGTTGAACAAATGTTGGAACATGCACTTATGTAAAGGAGCATTGTAAGTATGCAGAGTATTATCACTGCTCTGCCCATGCACTCAATTTGGCACTCGTTAATGAGTCAAAGCTTCCCGTTACTCGCAACATGATTAAGCACTGTCAAAAATATAACATCCTTTCTAATTACAAGCAACAAGAAGTAAGTTACCTTAAGATGTGCTATTAACTTCTCCATTGTTCACCATGGCAGCAAAAACCTTCAGTCATTGTGCGAGTCAACTCGGTTGAACGAGTAACTGCACTAGACAATTTTGTATCAAATTACGTTCCAATTGTGAGGACAATGATGGCTGTCAGCAGATGGGAAAATCCAGAAGCCAAATCACAGGCTTCGTCGCTCATCAAAGCAGTGACAAAAAGCACTTTTATTGTCACTTTATTTTGCGTCGTTAACGTAACCAATAATATAGATATATTATCCAAGCGTCTACAGGAGAAAAACACCTCTTCAAAGGAAGCAATGACGAAGATTCAAGACATCATACTACCCTCTAAGAAATAATTAGTCGTGCAATCAATTATTAACGGCTTGTGCAATTTTGGCACATTTTTCAAATACTACTCGTAGTGTTAATCATTAATTGCACTCCTTCCGGCCATGTGATTACCTATACTTATATAGCATTGACATTTATATTACAGTGAACTATAATGGCTGATGTTTTAAGATTATTGTACATTATTTTTGGTGCCCCCTATCCTTCTTTGATATTTTTGGTAGCCCCCCTCCTAAGTGGTTAATCAATTTTTGGTGGCCCCCCAAATGTCTTCGCCATTAATAATGACTGCTCCCTTATAATTCATTTATATTATCATATCTCAATTGCTGTTCTACTGTTAGGCACTTTTGGCGTAAGAGTGATTCTAACAAGCTTGAGAAATTAAATGAAAAGGCATTGAGGACCTAAAATATGGAACAGTCTACCAGATGTCATAAAAGCGGCAGACAATATCCTAATATTTGAGAAAAAGATTCGTAAATTCGAATTTAAAGATGTTGAGACTTACACATTATTTATTTCATTTAACAATATAATATATATTACCGGTTGTCCCCAAAAAACTATACCGTGTTTGATTTCATGTAACGTAAAACCTATAAAAGCTATTTCGCTAAAATAAAAAGTATTGCATTCACAAATGATTATCTTAGACTTTGATATATAACATTTATTTTTCTGCGCGATATTGACAGAGCAATTGACGTTTCAAAGTTGAAACACCATTTCTGAGAAGTTCAAAAATTAGCATAAAACAGCATATCAAGTTCCAATTTAGCTTACTTGTTGATTATTTTTATTCTAGCTAAAAGAATGCATTTATATTTAAAATGATTAACTAATATGAGTTTACTCATCATGAAAAGTGTGTCTTTGAACTTGAATGTACCGTTGTTCTCTAGCGTATTCTATACAAAGCCAAACCTTTTGTCTCTTGTTAACTCAGACATCTTTAACAATGAAATTGCGAATTTGAATCCCAAGGGATTTTTCTTTTAACGCGAATTACTGACTTTGTTTTATTGCAAAGAATCAATCTCTAAGTGTAATTTTTACTTTTAAAAGTAAATTTGCAAGGGAATAACCTAAAATTAAAGATAAAATCACTGAAGTTAAAAAGATTCCATGAAAAGTGACAACTGCTTTCAATTTAGTTTGATGCAGCGATTTTTTTTCGTTATTTCACCAATTTCTATAACTCCTCGCAACTTCAAACACTTGTATTTCCGTCAATATTGCACGGAAAATTAAATGTTATGTATCAAAGTCTAAGATAATCATTTGTGAATGCACTGCTTTTTATTTTAGCGAAATTAATAGCTTCTATAGGTTTCATGTTACATGAAATCAAACAGGGTACAGCTTTTTGGGGACACCCGGTACATATTTATTTTAACATATATATAATTGCAATTCTACAATCTTGACAAGACCCTTGAGACCACTCCAGCTAATATTTCACAGCTATTGGACATTAACAAAAAATTTTGTCTCCCTCTCCTCCCCCTCCCCCAGTTCAATGTTGTAAACAACGCCGAAACAACTTTTGGTAATATATCATGACACAAGCTCAACATTGAGTTGGGGGAGCGGGGGCTTAAGAAGGGCAGCATGATTCAACATGCAGTTTATCATGAAAATATGTGAATTTTCTATAAGGGATAAATAGTCTGGACCAGTTATGTCCAAGATTGCGGTAGTTTCTCAGTCTTATTATTATTGTTATAATCATCACGATTATCATCATCATCATCATCACAATCATAATCTTCATCTTCATCATCATCATCATCATCATCATCATCATCATCATCATTATCATCATTATCATCATCATCATCATCATCATCATTATCAGAATCATCACGATCATCGTCATCATCACGATCATCGTCAACATCATCACAATCATGATCATCAAAATCAACATCACGATCATTGTCATCAGCACGATCATGATCAAAGGCATTATGTGCCGCAGACACGATTCCATCCAATGACTCTACCCCTAGGTTATTGCTTCCGTTATTTGGGTCAATAAAAGAAATATCCAACGGCCACCAATGTGGTTGGCAACCCTCACGACCCCACTTCGGTCGTTTGGTTCCTTTAATAATTATTAAAATAAAATCAATAAATGTTTGTTTGTTACTGTTTAAGTTATATACTAGAAAATACATGCATGCAGAAACCCTCGCCTTGACAAAACATTATATTTTCTGAATATGAAGAATTGAAAGTATTTGTCATGGTAGCACGATAATTTTAAGAATAGTTTTAAAATTGAAAAATACCCCCCAAATATCACTTTTAATAAGAAAATTGTCAATTTCCCAAACATATATATGCTAGGTATTTTATTATACGAAATATAAGCTTCAATTTAATGTAAAATTCAACCACAAACGCTTCGCAAAGCGTTTTAAAATGTTCTTAAAAGACTTAAAACTAAACGGCCTTTTATCGAATTATCAAACATTGACTTTGAAACTGATTTGAAATTCTCGCATGAAAATAACTTTGCTTTCCTCTTTATTTAAATACCTTAATATACAAAAGAAAGGGTAATTAATAAAACTACGCTGAAATCATAGGCTGTCTTTTTTCACTTATATACGCAATGATAGTATCAGTTCGATATCCGCAGTATCGCCCGCCATTATCAGTTATAAATAGATCAATTATAAAACAAACAATACATCGATATTTAAAACAAACCTACCCTCATTAACGTCGGCGACTTTGCTCTATTCTTTCAGACGTTTTTAGACGTTTTTTGGCTCTCTAAAATGTTGTGAAATTTACAAAATCTTGCAAAAATACACTGACTTGCAAGAAATGTTTGTTATTTGCTGATGTCAATGCAGTCATTACAATGCAAATTTCAAACTTGACCAATCAGTGTTCACTATTCACGACAGCCCTTTACATATTTTGAGATCAGTGAGAATGACCACCCATGAACGGTGAGCCATGCCCCGCTATACTTGATTAACTTTAGAGTTCGCTAGTGTGTTCCTTTCTCCGGGTGTAAATAACCGGGCGGAATTAGTACCGTCGCAAGGCGCTTCGCGCCGTCGGCTGTCGGCTCGGCGATTAAAATTTCGACAGGCATTGATCTAGTTATTGCCATTGGGAATTATTGTCCATTACCATAATCTGTCACTAGATCGACGACTAATTTTCTTTTCTTATGCACGTTGAATTTGTGCCAATTATCTGGAATCTTTGGTGCATCTGCAAACAGAAACGTTGTAACCATAACCACCTTCTCCTTATAAATCACATTTCACAGAATTAAACAATTAATGCACTCCAATACTTAACAATTCCCATTATAGCATAATCCACGCACACACACACACAAGAACATATTTTGGGTTGCAACACTCTCCCCCTTAATAGTGAAATCAACTGGCATTTGACAGTGAGAGTAAAATAGGGTGCAGCAGGTTGTATTAGCCATTTCCCATTCGAGCAGAAGATTGGGTCTAGTTGATGTTAGGAGGGACGTTTGAAGTGACAACAAGTTATAGTGAGCGAGCTAAATATATATTAAAATATGCCTTATTATAATTGCTGAATTTCAGGCTGCACAAGTAACTTATGTAGGAATTAAAACTTCCCAGATGCCATATTTGGCATATTTTTTATTTTTGTCCCTCCAAACAAGCAACTAGACCCAGTCCTCTGTTCGATTTGGAAATGGCTAATTGGCGCTCCTGTCACAGCAAATAGTACCCTGCTGAAGGCCAACAAACTGGGTAATAAAAAAGACAAACGAACGAAGTTCATGGCAACATACTGTAATAAATGATTGTTTACACCCAAGCTAATTTCCCATATAACATACCCATTCAAATTATTCCTATAGCTACAGTAATTTGTCTTGTAGATGGTACATACCTGTGGAAGACCTGCTTGGACAGCAGGCCAATACAGCAGACTTAAATGCGTCTTTAACGGCTGGGTTTTCGGCAAATTCGCTTAATTCAGGAG